TATTTGATAAAATAATTTTGAATTGTTGATAGATATATATTTGAAGTCAAGTTTCTAACATATTTCTTGTTGGTCCAGCGGCTAGTCGGCCTTATTTGTGCATGAGAGGTGATGTGTTCGAATCTTCTTGGGGTCAATTTTTTGGTAATTTGCCACTTGCGCCACGTCAGCAAAATTAAAAATAAAAAATGAAAAGAATATCCACGTAAGCGTAGCAGGTCACTGTGACCTGATGTAGGCGGTCAGAGGACCAAAAAACTAATTTTGTTTCAGTTAGAGGACTATTTCCAAAAACGGTCCATTTACGGGACCAAATTGAAAACGGCCTGCAGATAAAGGACCAAAAAACCTTTTTTTCCGATAATGAACATATTACATTTTCAAAAATTTGATCATTAGGAAAAATAAATTAACGATTTTATTATTATGAATAATTGTTTATTATCATTATATAATATTAGTTTGATTGTTATTATTATTATTATTAAGAAAAAATTGTTTATAAGATTTTAAAGTTGTTTGACTATGCTATTAAAACAATTTACTAATTATGTTTAAAGAAATTTTTTAATGAGATACAAAAGAAAAAGATAATATTGATGTTAATATAAATAACTTGAAACAATTGTTTATAATTAGGTAATTTATATTTATTGTGAATTATTATTAGTTGGTATTAGCAATAACTATTATATAATATAATAGAAAAAAAATACTTGATTACACTTAATAGGATGTATTAATGTGAGAAGTAAAAAAATATTAATGAAAAATTTTGTAACCGAAAATGGAGGAAAAATTTTAGAAGTTTTATTAAATGTTATATGCTAGCAATTATATATATATATAGATATGTCTTTTTAGTTCCCAAAAAAAGAAAATTCAAATAATATTGGAGCCCAAGACTAGAAAAAGGCCGATGAATCTTGATCAAAGGGGCCGAAAAATATAAGCTCATTATTGATTTCAATAAATTTAAAAAAGTCGAGAACAAATAAAATCGACGAAGTCGAAAACGAATTTAAATTGGTTTCGACGGCTACTAACTGAGTAAATCGAATAAAATCGAATGGCTAATGATAATTCGAATAATTTAAATAGACATTAACGTCTAAATAAATATTTTTCTAAACGGATTAAATAAACACTAAAGTCTAATTAATTCTGAATAACTTGTCGAGAATGGAATAACTTAAAAAAATGCAACTAACTGCATAAATAAAATATATAATCGAGATGTTTTCTAATATTTGACTGGGGCGCTACACACGTATCAACATAACTAAATTGCTACCGTGTAATACCAACAAGATCAACTTTCATTTTTTCACCTTCTATGTTGCATATATATCCTTACTTCTAAGTGAGTTTTTTATTTTTATTTATTTTTTTTTTTTTT